TTCTCTAATGTGTTGTAGTTGATGGTGAGCCATATAGGTTTTTTTGTCTTCATAAAAAATCTTTTGCCAAAGCCAACATATAATTTCACCCAAAAAAAAAAAGTCTGCAGATTTAGCGTAAGGGAAAAACCAAAAGGCCGTAAACTTGTTGCGGTGGGCCATGTAGATATGGGTGGTTCCGCCCATATACCGACTTGTCTCTGGAAATCAGTTTGTAAGAGCAAGCCTAATGGAGGGCTCTATCTGCCGCAAGGGTGCAGATGGTACAGCCCCAACTCAAAAAAGCAACACCAATGATGATAAATAGTGGGCTCTAAATGGCTCGGCCCACCGGAGGGTTGCAACCACACCTATATATATAGGAATTCGGTTGAAGCCACTGAAACCTGAGGAACCCACTCATTCTTGGACTATCGGCGCGCGTGAACATAAAAAACCGATCCTCAATCACGCAAGACTTTCGGCTGCTCCATTACTCGCTGAGTAAAGACTTTTTTTATTTAAATTTATTGTTTTGTAAATAACTGGCTGCTCCTAATCACTTTTATTGTTTTTTTGGTTTTGCAAATCAGCGTCTCTTCTTTTATTGTTTTTTTTTTCAATCACTTTTTTCTTCTTATAATCAAGGTCTAAAATATCGAGAGTTTCGGAAATATCGATGGTCCAAAAACACGGATATATCGATGGAAATATCGAGGAAATATCGATAAAAATTGAATAAAAATTACGAAAATTGTGAGAAAAACTTGGAAATTTTTATTGAAACTTTATAGGATGTTTACTTAGTCAATTGTCTATTATTTTATCACAAAAAATTAGAAGGAAATGCATGGCATGGTGGGTTTAAGTGATTTAAGTTGATTATGTAGCGACCTGACAAATACTGTGACTTTAGAAAATATGTAGTAATTAATGAAAGAAAATTAAACACACCATAATTTTTTGGTTATAATAATTTACTACAATATATTACACTTGTTTGTACCATACCTGACCCTCCACTCGTACAACGACACGTGGATCTCATAAACTCGCCCAAGCACCCAAGGCCTCGAACAATCGGCATAGGCTACTAATGATATTGTCTCAAAGCAGCAAAAGATCATTACAAGCCCAACACAGCCTACAATCGGTATCCCCTACCGATTCTGCAGAATCAACCTCGAAGCACCCGCCTGAAATATCTAAGGACTCGCGTCAACCTCATAGGGCCCTCCCACGAGTCCCACATCGAAAATGAGCACTAAGAGCATACTAAATGCCCTCTATAAATATGCCCCTTCCACCACAATACAGGGGTAAGACTTTTCAGCTTGACTTTTATACTTCTATATGGTCAACAGCAAGAGCTCTTAAAAACAATCTTACTTGAGCATCGGAGGGTCTTAGGCTGGTTCCACACCGGTTCCATAGACCTCACGAGCTTCGCTTATCTTCCATTCAGGATCAGCATCTGAAGACAGGAGGAATCCCTATTTACCACTCAATCGATCTCCTAGATCGTCCACATCTCTTGTAAGTTGCACTCATCTCTATCTGTTCAGATTTAGCTCCAACAACACTTGATACATATGATAAAATATATGAGCTTGACCAAAAAAACAAAGATAAAATGTATGAGTAAATTAGTACGTTCAACACCCTGGTGTACGTTCATTGCATTATCTTTAAGGACATGTTTGGTATTTATGAGTTGTCGATGCTAATTTCCAGATTTTTTTCCCATTATGTTCCACCCAGCAATTGCAAAGAACGTTAATCGACGACGTTCTTATTCATTGTCTCTATCCACGACGTTCTTATTCATTGTCTGATCCTTATGCATTTCCAATTCTTGAAAATTCAAAATCGCTAGAATCGTATACACTTTGGAAGCCCACAAGTTTTGCAATATGTTTTTGTTTGTGTCTAAATATTTTAGTATTTTCACAAAAACATAAGTGATATGGTGGTTAAGGTGTTGAAGGAGTAAAATGGTTTTCACAAATACCATGTATATAAATATTTTTGGGTTTTGTATCGGGATATTATCGATAATATCTCGATATATTGCCCAAATCATTCATAAAAATGTTGAAAATATCTTCCCGATAATATCGGGATAATATCGATATATTGACGATAACACTATGGTTAGTTGTTAAAATATCGGACCCCCAAAAATCAGATATTATCGGGATAATATCGGGGATATTATCGATATTTAATACCTTGCCTTCGAGCCCACAATCAGACAAATCTAGTGATTCTAATGCTATTGTATTATTTGGACAGTTTGACAAACTCCTCCAAAACTCTTCAATTTTCTCACCATAAAATTCATTCATACTAAGACTTAAAAACTTCAGTTTGCACATATTTCCAATGACTCTGGGAATTCGACCCTTGAGGCCCAAATAAGTTAAATCTAGGTATTCCAGAGATTTGAGGCTTGCAAGTTCATCGGGAAAAGGACCACCGAAAGAATTCCCACTTAAAACAAGTTTTCTGAGGTTGGTAAGATTGAAAAGCCAGCTGGGAGATGAAGAAGTATTGAACGAAATATATGACAAATCAAGGACCGAAAGTGAGGTGAAGTTAATCTTTTGTAGTGATAGTGGAAGGCTTTCAAACAAGCAACCAGATAAGTGTAACTCCAGTAAGGAAGGAAGCATGTTAAGATGATGCAACCAATTTGTAACTCCAGTGCTGCTAAGATTCACTCCATTGAGATTGAGGTATTTTAGGAAAGAGAGATGAGAAAGCCAATTCAAGTTTGTGGAATATAATGAGATATTATAAGAAAAGCAGAGATCAAGATAGTTCAATTTTGATAAGTTACCGAGAGAATGGGGAATCTCTCCCGAAAATTATGCATACAATAGATTGAGATACCTCAGACTTTTAAGCTCCCCAAAGAACTTAGGGATGTGAATCCCATCAAAATCATTGTAGCTTAGATCCAGATAATTTAAATATTTCAAGCTAAGCAAAGAAGGATTTATCTTACCTCCCAAGCAAGACTGCTTATAAGCCAACTCGTCCCACTCGTCGTCATACTCGAAAACATATGGATATGGATTCCGGAGATTCACCTTCGCCACATGACCGGTGCAATTGTTGCGCGAAATCCCTTGCCATTGACAGCAATCGCGACCCGCCTAAGAATAAAGTCTTCCAGAGGGATCCTTGAGATCCTGTTTAAAACTGAGAAGCGCACTTCTCTCATCCTCAATGCATGATCTCACACTACCAGTGCTTGGAACTCCATCAACCAAACAGAAACAGAAGTGACTGCTAGTGTGCAGATATGAAGATGCCAAAAACAAAAGGAGCAAAAAGTGAGAAATGTAGGGAGGGTAGAATAAGTTTGAATGCAAAGTATCCATTATGCAAATAAAGTTTCTCTAAATTTGTTTGTTGCAGACGGCTACTCAATGAGTGAACTCATATAGGAGGCAAGGCAAGGAGCGTGTAAAAATTTATCTGAAGGTCTTCTACAAGGTTGCAAGTCAATGGTTATTTTATTGGAGAACATTAACCAACGCATTCTACAAGTTTGCAAGCATTTTTCCTTAACCCATCACTATCATTATCATCTTTGCTATTAGACCTGCAACGAACGGGAAAGAAGGGCAAGACTTCTCCATCACGTGGTGGAAGACCTTGACCTTATTGTCACCGATTCTCTTTTTGACTTGCCTTTTTGATAATTGGCCAAAACCCTGGTGTACGTTCATTGCATTATCTTTAAGGACGCGTTTGGTATTTATGAGTTGTCAATGCTAATTTCCAGATTTTTTTCCCAATGTGTTTCACCCAGCAATTGCAAAGAACGTTAATCGATGACGTTCTTATTCATTGTCTCTATCCACGACGTTCTTATTCATTGTCTGATCCTTGTTCATTTCCAATTCTTGAAAATTCCAGATCGCTAGAATGGTATCCACTTTGGAAGCCCACAAGTCTTGCAATATGGTTCTGTTTGTGTTATTGGTCCAATCAAACCTAAACCAACTTTGGAAGCCCAAAAGTTGAGAGCTCATTCCATGGATCTTCTCCTTCTCATTTGGTCCATCATTTTATCTCGCATTTATCTCTCTCTCTCTCTCTCTCTCTCTCTCTCAGAGAAGACGTTTAAACCTCTTTAAAATCTACCTCTCATTATTATAGTGAAGGGGAATGCTAGCATGTGTCATTCCTTAACTTTGTCACGGGGAATGCTAGCATGTGACAATAAAAGTATTTTGGACAACCAAATTTGCATTATCTCTCACATCATCCCTTCTTAACTTGATTGTGTCTCAACTACTACAGTTTAGTGGTACTTCTCTTTCGAACGTAGAAAGAAATCTCAAATTCGAATCCCCAAATCCTCTATTAATAAAATAGAAGAAAATCGTGTCTTTTGATATGCTAGGAAAAGCCGAGTTATAAATCAACAAGCAATATGTTTAAGCAAAATGTGAATGGGATGGAAAGGAAATTAGGTAGTGAAAGACTCATCAAAATTTGATGAGGCAACCGAAAGTTCATGTTTGGGGTCAACCCAAAAAAAAAAGTGTTTGATAGGGTTACTCTCTAGTACTATTGGGCTTTCTCCATGGATTCACAAGTTTTTGGCTTCACCTTGGAGAGCTGGAGGGCATCCAATACACTGATGGAAACTAAAAGGATCAGATACCCTTTGTAGGTTGGTTTTGTCTATTCTGATTTTTAAGTAGCACATAGAATTAAAAGCATAATTAATTCTTAATTATGCACATAATGGAACTTTTCTGTATTACTCCAGTAATCAGTGCCAGAATTTGGAATTTAGTTATGTGGTTGTTAGATTGAATAATAATGTATGGTCCTTGCTTGCTCTTGTACTTAACGAGCACCAAGAACACATTTGGCCTCTTTCTCTGTCTCTAGAGGTCATCTGTTCTGTTTCTATGTTGACTCACCAATAATTGTCTTTGTCTTTGTGAGCAATAAGCATCACAAAGATCACTTTAAAAAAAATCTGTGTATGAGCAATGAGCGTGGAAATATTCCCACCGTAGTTTCTTCAATTCTTTCTTATGTTTTCTTTCTTTCTTCTTTCCATGATATACAATGATCAAGTTCAGATATGATTC